TTATTGTAGCTGGCGCTGGGGTATAGAGTTACCCTCCTCTGCCAGTGGTCTTTGGAAAAAACTCAATTTTCTCTTCAGGCTCAATTCAAATTAGAACAGATGGGGGTCATCAATGCTCTCCCATCACAAAACCCTAGTCGTGGATTTTTTTTTTCCTTTTTGCTTTCCTGGCCTTACACAGGTCAGTCCTTTCTGGGAAATCAAACTCTCTCCCCTCTCTATCTACAGGATATCAAACCTATTGTATGGCTACCTGCCCTTGCCCCCATCACTTTCATTATGCATCACAGAATGCAGTCCCCTTTAGCGTGCTCTACGAGGCAGCAAAACTAAAATGCACAGTTTCTAACCTGAGCCATTTGGCCAGGTTTCAAGTTGGCTCTTGGGGGTGAACCTAGCCAAGGGCAAGTCAGTCTTCTCGGCTGCAATGAACTGGATGTTTGGGAGCAGGCCTGCCTGGCCTGCTTCTGCCAGTCCTTATCAACTAATGAGCTCAGTGCCTCGAACATCCAATTTCCACCTCCCTGACCATGTGAGGCAATGCTGGCATGCCCTCTCCCCAGCCACTCATGTTTGTGCTTGGATGGTTTAAACCTCATCATCAGCCACTGACCTTTCTCTGCCTGGAGAGATTCTGCAGAAGCTGGGACCTGGAGGGGCTCATTCTCATCTTCCTTTATGCTGGAATGGGCCCAGTCTCACCTAGGATACCAGCTTGGGGTTTTACAGTTTCATTTTCAGTGTTTCTAACCCCAGTGCCTTTTGCATCCAGGATCGAATCCAAACTCCTCTGTCTGGCTGTTAAAGCCCTCTGCCACCTGGCCCAAATCTACCTTTCTAGCCTTATTACCTATGCCTTTCACACAATCTAACCAAAACTGTTCCTCCACATGACATTTGACCTCTACTTCCCTATCTTCCTTCCTTCATCATAACAGCAAGTCAGCATCCTTCAAACCTCAGCTCAAATGTTGTCTCCATGATCCCTCTGGTTGTGAGTGCAATCCCAAACTCCAAATTACCTTTTGCATCTTTTGTATATATTGATGTATACATGTCATCTTCGCTAAGGGAAATGTACATTTCATCTTTGTTTTTTGTGGCCCCCGAACTTAGCATAGTGCCTGGCACACAGTAGGAACCTAATCAAAGCTTGTTTATTGGTTGACCAATTAAATATGTTTGCTGAAGGACAAAGAGCAGGATGATAGGGAAAGAGCCAGGAGACTAAGAGCGGAACCTGGGGTTCAAATCCCAACGTTGCCACTAACTCTGGGCTTCAGTCAGCTCCTCAGTAAAGGTAGTTGGATGGTTCCCATTAGAACAGTTTATAAATCAACTAAGGAATGCTAAATCCTGCTCTATTTTATTTGTCCTCAGACCTGGCTCTGTCTCCAACCAAGATTTAAGTTGGGATGAATGGTTTTGGGAGCAGCCCCTCCCTCTGCAGAAAATATAGAAGCTGTCCCATTTTCAACCCTACCCCCTCAGCCAGTCCCCTCATACACACACACACACACACACCCCAAGACATGAGACCCAGTAGCCACTGGGAAGGACAGCTTCGTTTTTCTCTCTGAGCTGCGGTTAATGCTTTATCGCAGGCTGTTGATACAAAAAATAAATCACACCATTTGGTTATTTTTGAAAACTTCCTGCACGCCACCCTTTGTAAGTGTCTCAGGAAGCGGCATGGTTTTAGAGATGGGGAGTTTCCCTCCCATTAGAATGTTAGCTTCTTACAAGTAGGGGTTGTTTCATTCTGTGTACTTGTCTCCTCCTGAACCTAGCAAAGTGCCTGGCACATGGCAGGCTTTTCATAAATGTTTGCTGATTTTTTTTTTTTGAAAATGGACAGTTAAATCCATTCACCCATTCAACACTTACTTGCGAAAAGTTACTATGCTCCATCCATTATTTTAGGCATAGGGAATATAAAGCACTTCCTGCCCTCACCAAGCTTCTATTCAGTTGGGGGCAGGGAGGAGAGAAACAACATAGACATATACACCAACTAGCAAATAAAAATACTTACAAAGTAGATAGACAGTAATGGGAGGGGGGATGGACCTGGGGAGGAAGCGATCAAGATTGGCTTCCTACAGAAAACGGTGCTTGACCTGAGTTTTGAAGGAAGGTAGCAATCCTAAGGGGTAAAGGTGAGAAGGAAGAGCATCCCAGGAACAGAAGACACACTGTGCACAGGCATATTGACAAGCAAATTTTGGCAAAGGCCGAAGAAGAGTGAGCAGACCAGCTCAAGAACACATATCCATTCCACTTTATGTTAAACGTCAATTAGGACTCGGCGGTGAGAGGTTGAAAGCTTCTTCGGGACTGATTGAAAACATAACAAAACACTTTTCTGTGGTTTGATCTGGAACCACATCGCAGAGACAGTGGGAGAGGAGACAGCAAGAGCCCAAGAGAACAGCCTATGAGTCAAAGGCAGATGAAATGATTCAACTGCTGACTAATTATCTCTGTTCATCTGCATGTTTTGCTGCTCTGTGGACAGAGCTTTCTTTCAAGCAGGCCAAAGGCACCAAAGCCTGACTAAATTCTCTGTTTCCGTGGGATCACGGCTCATCCCTCGAGACAACGGCAATCCCTTTTTCAAAAGGGGCCAGTAAGGAAGGGCAGGACGATGTCTAGGGGTCTTCCAAAGCAAGCATACCTTTCAGTTATACTTTGGAAATCGAGAAAAAAAAAAGACAATTCCCAAGGTGCCTTTTCTACACTGGAAACTCTCAAGGCCTTTAAAACATGCTGTCTTCTAAAGGAAGGCCTTTGCATGGAGGGTAGCCTGCCAACGGGGGGCTGAGTAGAGGCATGGACAAGAGTCATACAGGCAGAAGGGGCATGGGGGGGGGTGTTGGGACTTGTCCCATTGGAGGGAATGTCCACCCTGATGAAGGTGCAGGTCAAAGGAACCTGAATTTAGAAGTGAAAAGGACCTCAGACGCCACCCAGGCCAATACCCTTATTTTACAAAGAAAGAAACTGACTTGCCTTATTACACAGGTACTAAATTGCAGATTTGGGAATTGATCCCAGGGCCTATTGGCTCTAAATCCAGAGCTATTCCCACTATTCCACATTGCTCCTATATTTAGCAAGGAATAGGAAAAGTCATCGTCCTTATGAGCCCCACCTGAATGACTAAAAGGGCAAAAATTAAAACAAGATTGCCGTCTTTCCTTCATGAAGGAGAACACAATGCAACCTATCAATGGGACATGTCCTTTTTAAAAATAAATTTTTATTGCTATTTTTTGTTTTTACATCACTTACATTCTCAGCACATCCTTGCACCATTTCCCCCTTATAGCAAAGAATAAAAATAGGGTGGAAAAAAAAAAGCAGGAAGGCCCAACTAGTCAACACATCAGACAAGTCTGACTACTGTATGCAACATTTGACACCCATAGTCCCCCACCTCTGGCATTCAGCTGGGGAAAGCCTCTAACGGTCAATGATGCTGGTACAAAGAATGGGACATTCCCTTGTAAGCTGTGGGGGTTTGGGTTTTTCCCCTCCCCAGTAAAAGAGAAGAATTCTTCCATCAGAATCCTCTTCTGATGCCTCAAGCTACCCAGGGTGACCTACATAAAGGACTTGAAGGTGATTTTGGGTTATCGAGGCCGGGTAAACAGAACCCAAGGTTGGGCATTAGTGTGACCAAGATGAGAGGCTTTAAGTATGAATGCCCATTACTGGAGGAGAAGCCCTGCTAAGTTTGAGGAGGCCAAAGGCCAGGGGATTATCTGCAGGATTATTTTTTAATTAAATATTTTGTTTTCCCCCAATTACACATAAAAATAATTTTTAACATTAGTTTCTTAAAACTCTAAGTTCCAAATTCTCTCCCTCCTCTTCTCTCCTCATTGAGAAGGCGAGCAATTTGACATGTACAGCCACACAAAACATATTTACAAGATTATTTTTTTAAATCACCTGAGGAGCTAGAAAGAAAGATGTTGGAATGATAATCATAAGAGCTAACTTTTATATAATGCTTTAAGGTTTGCAAAGTACCTTCTAAGGCAAGATCTGAATTCAAGTCTTCCTAACTCCAAGTCCAGCACTCTGTGCACTTAACACCTAGCTGTCTAGCTATACAATGCCAGTGTGCTGGATTTGAGAGTCAGGAAGACCCGAATGCTTTAGTAAACCACCTCCTAAGTTGTGGTGGAGATTTTGACTTGCACTGGTAGAAAGTGTGCCCACACAGAGAAGAAATCACAGATCCAGACAAGGCAGACAAAAGGCCTGTGGACAAACACCTTCAAGTTGCTACATGGCCAAAATAATTCATGGCTCAGAGGTCAACCATTGCTGACGAATCCCCATATACTGAGCTAGGCTGGTCTATAGGGTCACAGCTATGCCTACAACAGTGTCATGCGATGGGAAATGTAACAGATTTGGAATCAGAGGGCCTGGGGTCACATTCTAGAACTCTCTTACCACTTATGGGATGCCAGTCAAGTCACTTCATCTCTCTGGGACTCAGTTTCCCCAGCTGTGAAATAAGGCATGTAGTTTAGATGACCTCTCTGGTCCCTTTGAGTTTTGGGTCTGTGATCCTAAAAAGCTCATGCTCATTAGTGTTTCATAATCACTAAAGATAATGGATCATTAAGTCTGGAAGGAAGCATGGAACTTGTCTGGTTAAATCCTTTCCATTTTACAAATGAGGAAACTGAGGCTGATAGGTAAAGTGGACTCCTGGAGAAATAGGGGCAGGTGCCCGATTATTTCTTATTCCTCTTTTCATTCCTCATAGCTCCTAGGACTAAGTCTGTGCTCACAAATGCCTCACGCATAGTAGGTGCTTATAAATATTCGCTGGGCCAATGACCATATAGGCATGTATATGTGTGTGTGCAAAGAGAAAGAAAGACACTAAGTGTATAAATATACATACACTTGTATAGCACTGATCTCTCACACACAAACACACACCTCCCAATATATCTCTATATACGTCATCTTACCTGGAAATAGTCTGTAATGAAAGATCCAAGCTCACTCTTCAGCAGGCGCCTAGGAGAAAACAAACACTTGGGCATCGGTGTAATGATCAGCAACTTGTAATCAGTCTACACACCCATACAGACACCCCGCCCACAGGATGGACAGCCTGAGATTGGGAGACATGCAAGGACATTGTTTGGTCCAGGTGAGAGCAGGTAGTAGCCTGGGGTAGGACAGACAAGCTCTCTCCTTCCTTCTTTTACTACGGGTGTGATTTTGGGCTGACCATTTGTTTCTGGGCCTCAGTTTCCTCTCCTGTAAAATGAAGGGGTTGGACTATAGGACCCCTGTGGCTCCCCCCTAACCAACTCTAAATCTATGAGCCAAAGACATGGAGGCCCTGATTCCACCACACCAGGTAGGAGAAGGTACCCAAGTAGAGCTGCAGGTTTCCTGAGATGTTGACATACACCATCTATTCTGAGCTTCCCAACAGGCCCAAGAGACAGGCATTGTTATCCCCCAGCTAGTGGGTGGCTAGGATGGGCCTTAAATCCAGGCTGTCTCCTGACTCAAGGCACTTTCCATAAGTCACATTCGTGGCTTCCATAAGAGTGGTAAGGGAAGCAGTGATGGGGGCTGAGGTAGCCCACAATGACACCTGGGTGGGCTTGGCGATATAGCTCAATGCTGCAGCATCTTAACGGCTTCAATATCTGTTCCTCAGAAAGGAGACTGACTGTAACAGACTCCCCCTACATCAGATGAAAGGGCCCCAAGGAGGAGAGAAGACAGATGGAGTTTAAAGTTAGGGAGTAAAATGGCATCCTTGTCTTATCAGATCAGAGAGTTATTGCTGGACAGGACCTCTGGGACCTTCAAACCTGCTTCTCCTCCCTCCACCATTTTTTTTCACATGAGGAAAGTGAGGTCCAAGAAGTGAAGGTCACAAGGATTTCTACTCTGTTAACTGATGGTGCCTTCCCCAGGCCCATTTCTCAGCCAATCCTACAAACACGAATAACCATCTCTAAGCCTGGGGGTAATCCCTTGCATGGTAAGGGTTTCACGTCCCTCTACATTTCAACTGCCCATCCTCTCAGTTCTTCCCCTGAAGAAGCTCAGGTTTCAGCTGTCATCCCATCAACTGCTACAGACATGTTTCCACAGGTCACAGAAGGAGAAGGAACAGGCGACTGCTGGGCATGGCTTACATGCAGAAGACAGGATGGGAGCTCAGGGTGGGAAGAGGGCAGCTAAGACAAACATAAAACATGAAGCTCCATATATCAGCCTCAGACAGCTGCAGATACATATCAAAAAAGGAGGCAACAATCCTGCCCCGTCTTTCCTCGAAGCAGCGTGAGACACTGGGTTGAAATCCCAACTACCTATGGAACCTTGGGAACTCCATCTTCCTGGGCCTCAGTTTCCTTATCTGTAAAATGAGGGAGTTAGCCTCCATGGTATCTGGGTTCTCTCCCAGCTCTAGACCTCCAATTTTGTAATTCTTGGAGGAAATTCTGTCTACTACTGCCAAGTGTTGAAGGTATTTTTCTATCCAAGTTCTAGTCAAAAGATCACGCAAGTCTATCGGGTGATGGAGGGGACTGGGCAGGACAAAAGACCTAAGCTATGGGCTGTGAAGGAGAACTTGGTAAAGAAAGCAGAGCCAGTAATGTGGGCTTGCTCAGTCATTGGCTTAGGCACTCATCATTTCCCTCTGGCAAATAAGCCAAGAACTGGAGGTCGGAACTTTGTGGGTGGGCCCGGCCGGGACCAAGAAGTGCCAGCCAGGGAAGCAGTGGAGTCAGAGGACTCTGGAGACCATCTAGGCCAAAGCCTTTATTGGACAGATGAGGAAACTGAAGCCCAGGGCATTTTAACGCGTCCCTCTCACACAGGTAGGTGACCCAAGCAGGATTTGAACCTGGGCCCTGAATAAGGAGGCCAGAGGACAGGATTCAAATCTTACTGTCTTTGTAACAGCAAGCAACTCAGCCTTGGTTTCCTCGATTGTTCTGTCAGCCCTTTCAAGCTCTAAATCTAGGCTCTGATGATCCTAATGAGTTTCTACTGGAAAGAAGAGAGATGCCAAGCAGACTGGCTGCAGGGAACCCACCAGTGAGCCCACAGGTTTGCTACAGACCTGGACAATAACAACAGTAGGTCACATTTATAGGTTATGTCTTTTGCTCCTTAGAACAACCATGGGAGGCGCTACTGGCACCTCCACTTTACAGATGAGTTAAACGAAACTCAGAGAGGCCTATGACGTCCCAGGATCACACAGCAAGCATGCACCAGAGGCTGGATTCCAATCCCAGTCTTCTCATACTTTGTAACTCCAAGTCCTACATTATAACAATAAAAGCAGCTGGGTGGTATGATGGATAGAATGCTAGTCCTGGAGTCTTAGCTCAATTCTAGCCACCGATGATTATCAGCTCTGTGAGCTTAGGCAAATCTTTTTCACTTGTGCCTCAGTTTCTTCATCTGTAAGATGGGAATAATAATAGCACCTACTTCCCAGGGTTGTTGTGAGATTGTATATGGAGAATGCTTTGCAAACTTTGAAGCGGCAGGTATCTAAGTGCGAGTGATTATTATTATTATATGAAAATGTTAGGCCTGACAACTAGAGGCAGCCTTCCTGAATAAATGCCTAGTGACTCTGTTCTAGAAAAGCTGATGGATCAGGAAGAAACAAAGCAGGGGCATATTTCCAGGGGATCAGAGTCTTTCAGGAGAGGGCCAAAGGCAGAATTTGTACAGTCAGCATAGGATGGCTCAGGGCCTAGGAGACAATTGTAGGGACCAGACAGAAGGGTGTCTGGCTCATCAAAGAGGCCAGGGCAGGACCCAAGAAGGCCTGAGTGGCTTCAGAACAGAAAGACATCACAGGCCAGGGCTCAAGGGGCCTTTGGGGGCTATGATGGAGGCCACTCCTAGGAGACAACTACAAAGCAGGCTCTGAAAAGGATGGAGATGCCTGCCGTTACTGGAAATGGTACCAACCTAAATCTGTCTTAGTCAAAGAGCCTCAGTGCCCAACCTAGGCAGGGCTGAGGGGAAACAAAAGAATCAGCTGGGGAGGGATGCTGAAAGCATTCCTCGATCCTCATAGCTAGGGAGGCGACTGCCCCCTGCCTCCTCCATAGCCAGACCACATTCAGAGCTGTCTCAACATGCCGCCCCCTCCTCAAACTTCAGTGGCTCCCAGGATAAAATAGAAAACTTTTTGGCTTCAAAACCCTTCATAAACTGCCACCCACCTCATCCCCTGAAACACACACACACACACACACACACACACACTTCCAGTCTTCTTCTACCATACATATTCCATGCACTCTATGATCCAGTGATACTGGCTTCCTGGCTGTTCCTCCACAAAGAAGCTCTTTCTTCCAACTCTGGACATCTTCCCTGGCCCTCCCCCTGCCCAGAATGTTCTCCCCCCTCATCTATGTCTCCTGGCTTCCTTCAAGTCCCAGCTACAATGCCACCTTCTCTAAGAAGCCTGTCCTTATCCTCCTTAGCTCTAGGGTCTACCCTCTGTTGATCATCTCCAATTTATTCTGCATTGTTCATATCTAGTGGTTTGCATGTTGTGTCCCCCACTAGACTGGGAGCTCCTTGAGGGCAGGGACTGTCTTTTGTCTTTCTTTGTATCCCCAGTACTTAGCACAGTGCCTGGCACTGAATGACTGACTGCTTCTCTAGGAAGGATGCCAGTTAGCTAGAGAATGTCCAGAGTCAGGTGGGCACCCAAGATAGTGAAGGGCCTTAAGTTCATGTCACATAAGAAGTAATGAAAGGAACTAATGGGAATATTTAGCATCCTACTGAAGAGGTATTAGGTGGCTTCTGCTTGGGCCCAGAGGGCAGGACGAGAATCAGTGGAGAGAAAAAAAAATAAAAGACCAGAGCTGCCCCAGAATGGAAGCTGCCTGGGGAGGTAGTAAGATCCCTCTTCACTGATGGTGCTCAAACAAGGGCTGGTTGTCCTCTTGTCTAGAAGGTCCAGAAGTCAGCCAGAGGCTGGACTAGACAGCCATTGGTATCCTTTCCAACGAGAAGCTATACAGACCAAAGGAGATCTACAGGAAGGCTTCAGTGAAGATGAGAAGCTTAAATGAACACTGAAAATTGGTCCACTTCAGTATTTTTAGCATTTATTCTTTTTTCCCAGTAAAAGTTCATTTTGAAAAATTCCAAACTTGCCTTGGTAGAACTAAGGGGGAAAGGGAATATACTACCAACTTTGGTCAAGGGGAAGAGCCAGCGGAATTTAGAAAACATGACCAATTGGAGAGTTAAAAATGTGAGTTGAGTCAAGTCCTGGGCAAGCATCTTTACTTGTACTTCAATCTATACAATGGAGGAACTGACACTTTAACTAATTACTTCCCCGAGGTAATTATAAAAGACCCAGTGCTCCTAGTGGTCAATGGAGAGATGACAGCAACCATCTCAGCAGAGAGGTCTTCTAAGGGGAGAAAGAGGGGCTGAAAAAATTTGCTGGAACTGGGGCAGAGAATGAAGAGAGAAGCCAGGGAGGAACGGGTCTAGGACAACTTTGGACACTGACCTCCTTCCTGCTTGGCTCACTCTCTCTTCTCCAATGTTGCAGCAATCTGTGTCGAGGAAAAGGATAACAATAACCTTGTGTGTGCGTACCCATATTGTGTCCCCCTAGAATGTAAGCTTCCTGAGGGCAGGGGCTGCCATTTTGCCTTGGTATGCCCACGGTGCCCAGGCTACAACAGGCACTTGGTAAACGCTTGTTGCCTGACTGATAACACTAACTCACGTTCTAAGAGAGCTTCACAGAGTATCTGTATGCATCATCTCCTCAGAGCCTGGGTGTCCTCAGTGGAATGTAAACTCCAGGAAGGCTAGGGCTGTTTTGTCTTTGTATCTTGGGTTCTAGCAGAATGATCGGCGTCTACTAGGTGCCTAATAAATACGTCTGGTGAATTAAATGGAACCAAAATCAGGCTAACAGTTGCCAGCCTAAGCTTCCCAGAACCCCCTGCCGGCTGAGTTTTCTCTTTCCCCGCCAG